CTGGTTGATTCTGTGATTCTATGATATGTATGCTACTTCTGAACTCTCTAGTCGCCTGCTGTGTATTTGGGGTCAGAGAACATTTTACCTCAGATTGTTGCTTCATCACTTTCTGCTTCAAGTGATTATGTGTGCCCTAGTAAGTAACCCATTATTTTAACCTTTGTAAGCTGAGGCTAGTTAGAATACTGATAAATCTTGTAAGTCTATGAATTAATGCCTTCCTGAAGGTTTCTATACATACATTATTTTGCAAGTGTATTATCGTTTCTTGCAGCTCAAATAATTTAACGAAATTGATTTCATCTCTTCCTTCCCCTCCCCAGGCCTCCAGGTCTACCTGTACCTTGCCGTATTGTATTTTGATTAGATCTCTCCAAAATCTCTCTCTTCAGGTGGTCTAATACCAAGTTAAGACAGCCCTTATATGGGCATTGCTAGAATAGATGGCTTCCTTTGCCAAAAATGTTTAATATATCCATTCTCATATAAGACAGCAAAAATCTCCTGAAAGTGAGGGGCAGAAACAAGAAGTGAGGCACCTTTCGTTCTTGAGATGATACTGGAGAACAAAATTCTGTCAGGGAAAAACTGATACTCGTTTCTTATGTAGTGCTGCAGAAGAAGGACATGCATTGACTTCTCTAGCAGTTCTGTTGTCTAGATACTCCGTCTGCCCCAGATGCAGAATAGCTTTGGGTGTCGGATGCTTTTCTGCAGTTTAACCAAACATGCTGCCTGGAAGCTTATTTTATTAATCTTGCTTTTCAGGTCTGTAGGTTGTTGTATTGCTTTTGGTCTTTTGCTGTGGATGTCCTTTAGACACCCAAGTGAGGGAGGTGTATAACTTTTCTGTCATAGTCACCATTTTAAGTATAAGTCATAGGTAGTCTGTGGTATTTCTGATGCTTACTAAAGCACTGAAAGTATCTCATAAACAGTTTAGTTTTTTTAATTTTAAGTGGCGGTTTTTGGTAATGTAGAATTTCTCACCTTTCTAGGTCTTTGATGTACAGTGAAGCTAACAGACGAGAGACATTCACTTCATGGCCTCATGTGGGTTATCGGTGGGCACAGCCAGATCCTATGGCTCAAGCTGGGTTCTATCACCAGGTAGAAGTTTTAGTTGTTCTTAGTATTTGTTCTCGAGGTAAGGGTCTGGGGGATGAGGGGAAAAATGGTGGGGTTTTGTTTTTTGGTTTGGTTTGTTGTTGGGTTTGTTTTGTTTTGTTTTTTCTTAGTGGATTAGTTTAATTATTCATAAACTATAAAAGCTTTTCATTCAGCTCTTCTTTTTTCAGTGCCTTGAGGTTGCTTCTTCTGTTTGTACAGATCTTAGAAACTACTGTTCTGAACTTCACCATATAAAACAGTTATAAATATCAACTTGATCAGAGTTAAGCCACAGTAAAAGAGATGAAGTTGACTGTTATATAGAATCTCTCTTTCTCCTTGTTAGATTGTTGAGTAAATATCATTACTTTTTATATTATAAGTAAAGCAAAAAAAGCTTGACATTGGAGTTCTCTAACTGTACTTTCCTATTAAGACTTAAACTGTATTGTAACAAAAACAGATGTCCTAGGTCACATTAAATTATTAGGCTTAGTGAACAACCTCAACATTTTATTTCACTACTTTTGCTTCTTTCCATTTTTCATTCTTTGAAATTATTTCCACTGTAAAAAAACCCAACAAAACAAACCAAACATATGGTGTGGATTTTAGATAATGATGGCTAGGCAGTGCCTATCATTTGACAGCAGTATTGTCTGCTTCATTATATTACCTGCAAAGCCTGATAGGTGCAAGTGGATAAAGTGTTTGGGGGATTTCTAAAACTTACACAGGAGGAGAAATGCAGCGAAGTTGTAGGCTGGAATTGCATCTGCATATTCCCAAGCATGTCTTGAAATGAGGTTGTGAAAATGCTAAATTTTAAGAGAATGGAGATTTGCATTGTTTTTCCTTAGCTCTTTGCAGAGGAGTGGTAGAGAATGCTTTATGTCCCAGGAGACTGACAGGAATGTTTTTTAACCTGTGCTGATCCAAGCATGGAGATGTACACTTATTGTGCTGCAGTTCTAATTTTTTTGAACTCTGATTTTTTTTCCAAAGAAGCAAAAGTCTGAGTTCTGCTCTGTGTCTGTATGGTTTTTATCCAATCAGTTGCACAGACATTGGTTCTGAATCTCTTCTGTGGTAATGTGGTGTATCCTTTTTTTATTTACTGTGAAATACTGCCACTTTATAGTATAAAATTTGTGACCTTTTATGTGTTTCATGTGGTGCTTTGCTATGTCACTATGTTACTGCCTAGTTTCATAGTACAGAGCTGTATAAACATCAGATGTTCTTATTTTCATAGCCTGCTTCATCAGGAGATGACCGAGCCATGTGCTTTACCTGTAGTGTGTGCTTGGTGTGCTGGGAGCCGACAGATGAACCTTGGTAAGTTTAATGATGTTTGAAGTAGACTTAATTTTGTGCTGAAGAGCTTAGAGGTCTTTGAAGGACAAAGATTCGTGGGATTTCTGGTGAGTTTAGGGCATGTCATTGACAAGAATGGATTTCCAAAATGATTCCATGGAAAAAAATCACAAAATGATTTGGTGTATTATATCAGATTTCTGTATAATACTGAACTCAAGAAATTGTGGTTGGTTTTATTTCTTAATTCTACTTTGCTGTTTCAGTTGAAATTGCTCTATGACAAAGTTGTCAGCCAATAATTGTTTGCAGGGTTCTAAACTCCATCTTGTGTATGATTGTGACTAGAGCACATCTTTTTTTCAAGTTCATAAACTATGAAGTTGGAACATCCATTACTAGTTTACTGAATCAGCCAGGATTGTGCATAGTGACAGAAATGCAGGGCCTTGTATTGATTAAAGAGTTGTTAACATAACCTGTGTCTTGATTATTTGGTAATTTATAATTGTTACTTGAACACATCAGTTCTTGACTTGCTGGAAGCTTTTCCTTTGTAGTGTTATCTTCACAGTCTTTGTCTACCCCTTTCCCTTGTGAGTTTCCAAACATTTTGCAGTTGTGTACTTGCTCTTGTCATGTCTCTGCCTGAACTGTATACTGAAAAGGGAGTTTTTTCATGCTTCTTGGTCACTGTGTTGTTTGGGACTGTTTTCAGTTTTGATTTTTGTGACTGTGGATGTAGAACTACAGACAGGACATTGCTTCTAAAATTGCTTACAATGGTCTCTCATAACATTGGAATTCTAATGTTCATTCTGTGGAATTTAATTTGTGCTTTTCTTCATGAGGACATGATGGGCTACTGCCTATAGAACAATTACTTTTTAAAGGACTAATTACATTGAGAGCACTGTGTAGATTCATCTATTTGAATATGAATGTCCATTGAGGGATCAAAGGCTTTGATACAGTTTGCTGGTCAGAATCAGCAGGGAAAGCTGTGTTAGTAGCTTCAGAACTCTCTTGTATGGTTGACTGCAATACAGTTCAAACAGTTCAGTTTGACTTCTAGGGCTGAGTTTGTATATGATGTGTGTATTTTTCACAGTAAGAAATCAATGTTTGCTGTGTTTGTTTTTAATATGAAAAGGTCTGAACACGAGAGACATTCCCCAAACTGCCCATTTGTCAAGGGTGAGCACACTCAGAATGTGCCTCTTTCAGTCACACTGGCGACAAGTCCAGCACAATTTCCCTGCACTGATGGCACTGACAGAATAGCCTGCTTTGGATCTGGAAGTTGCCCTCACTTTCTAGCTGCTGCAACAAAACGTGGAAAGATCTGCATATGGGATGTTTCCAAACTTATGAAGGTATGCAGTATAAACCATCAGTTTTATTAAATGTTTACTAATTCAGTGTATCGCGATTCAAATCAAAGACCTCTTTTTGTTGTTGTTTTTCAGGTCCACTTAAAATTTGAAATCAATGCATATGATCCAGCTATTGTGCAGCAACTTATGTTATCAGGAGAACAGAGCTCAGGGGTTGACTCAAGGAGACCAACACTAGCATGGTTAGAAGATTCATCTAGCTGCTCAGATATACCAAAATTAGAAGGAGACAGGTATGCCAGCCTACAAAAGTAGAAATTTGAAATGCTGCTATGTAAGTGGTAAATGCCATTTAGTCAAGTCATGCTTTGTGTAATATAAGATGGGTATTTTTTTTCATGGAAATAATATTTTTAGTCACTAGGAATCTGTACGTAATTCAACACTTGAAAAACAATCTAATTTTCTATTTTTAAAGCCAGTTTCCTGCTGTTCCAGTTTTTATACTCTACTAGCAGAGAGATTGCAGATCTCATTGCTGCCCTGTGCTGATGTTTCAGAGGCAGAGAAAAAAAGAAAGGAATATAAGTTTCAGATCAGCTTTTCATTTCAGTTATGGATTATCCCGTTAAGGTTTTGGAAGTAAAGGCTACTCATGAACTTCTGGAACATGCTTTTCTCTGTAATTTCTGGTTATGTCATTCTGAAAATATGCTATGTGAATGTGCTAGGATTTTGTACCTTTAATACATGCACACAGACTTTAAACAGTTAGAGAGTCCTATTGCAAGCTTGTAGATAAACCAGAGGGTATGCCAGTGCTTAGAAAGTGTTATGTGAGAAAAAGCAGTATTCTTTCATTTATGCTTCTTCCAGTCTCTTACTGGGAGCTCCTATCTCATATTGCCAGAATTCAAATAAAAGAGTGAATAATTGTTGGAAAATTCAGGACAAAAGGTGTTTGGGAAGTCTTGCTAGTTTTCTGAATGTTTCTTCGTAACCTTCAGCATTATGGAAGGTTGCAGTACTGCAGCAGGCACAGGAAAGTAACCCTTTGGTTTTAAGCTTGATGTGGTATCTACAGTACTGCAGAGCAAATATGAAGTTTGCTCTTCTGAAGAGGGTGTGTAGAAGCATGGGCAACATCAGCATATGAGGCCTAACAGCTGCCTAGACTATTGCTGTAGCTTTAGGGCTGTGAAGTCCTTGAGAGTTAGAGAAGTAAAGCAATTTAAGAGCTGGATAAAGGATCGTGTAATCAGTGCAATCATACTGCTCAGAACTGTGCATCTTTCGCTTCACTTAAGCTACATGAAATTTACTATCACTTTCCCACTCAAGTGGAAGCTGGATGGGAGTCAAAGTATTGGATTGTCTCTGTTGTGTTGTGAAGGTTGATCAGGTTTGAACCAAAAAAGATCTGTTTCTTGGGTGTGAGAAGGAAGCATCCAGTTTGTTGAAAACTGAGGATCTGACTTGGTACTGTGAGTAGTTAAAGCTGAAGCTGCAAAGGCATTACTGTTCTTCCTGTGTGTAAGGAGCCTGTAATAGGAAATTGTTTCTGATACTGGAAAAGTCAGATGCATAAATTATTCATGTATTCTTACTACTACAGAGCCTATTTCTCTCTGAGAGGTGTCTTGAACAGAATCTGCTTTTATGAAAAAATGATTAATCTGGTAGTATTTTTTGAAGCAACACGCTGTTCATGCTTTGTTTCTGCAATAGCCACAAAATCACCCTGGTAGAACTGAGGACCAGTCTGTCAGCTCACTGTCCAAAGACAATTTTGAGGAACTTTGAAGAAGGTTTCATCAGTTTATAGGTGTCCTGTTTGGTTCATTTTATTTTTCTTGGAAAGATTCCTGAGAACTGGCTTTCATTGTAATTCCATTTATGTCTGAATTGCAGGAAATGCAGTAGTAGAATGAGGCAAACAGGAAGTTGATGTCCTGGGTTGATGGTGGAGGAAGAAGTCTGTCTGTTGTTAGTGTCTGTAAAGAACTCGTCAATGGATGTACAGTGCTGACTGAAAGGACTAGCCAGTTATAATACACATTGCTTTTTTTTACAAATGTTTTCAATAATGTATTTAAAAACAGGAATGCAGTTACAGTGTGCATGGTGTCATGCATGCATTATTTTTTTTCAGTGATGACCTGCTGGAGGATTCAGATAGCGAAGAGCATTCCAGATCAGAGTCTGTGACAGGTGGGTTATGTCTGATTCGTGTCATAGTTTAGAGGTCAAAGGGGAGATAGTCCTTCTCGAGCTTTTAAAAAAGGCCTGTCAAAACCAATGTTATTATATGCACTGTATTAGGAAAAAGGAAAAGGATTTACCTTGAAAACTATGCCAGTATTTAAGTCACCGTTTGGGTGGTGGAGAGAAGACTTACAGGAGAAAAGAAAAACCTTCCTTTGCTGGTTAATAAATGTCTTATTTGACAACAAGCTTTGCTTATCTTGCTGTCAATAAAGCACACACACACCAAGATAAAAGAACTTACTTAGAACAGGAACAAATTACAGCTGTACAAAACGCTTTAAATTCAGGGGATTGCCAGAAAAAGTTCCTGTACCTTGATTGTTTCCCTGTGGGTATGCACTCTGAATAAATATACTCCTGAATAAAGATTTCATATGGAAGCAGAACAGTGCTATGCATGGTGTTCTTGTGTTATTTTCCTAGAGGTTGAACCAGAAATTTTGATGGGAGAGAGCATTAAATGTTTATTTTCAATAATCCAATTTATGTCTTTGAGTAAGGATCAGCAAATGGGGAAAAAAGTCCATGTGCATATGGTCATGCACACAGGGAAATAGACTTGAGATGTAAAAAATATTGGTTTTTTTTCAACAAACAGTAATATATGCAATATGATTACTTTTTTTTTCTTTTGAACATATGTATTATGTTAAACATTTTTGTTTTAAAGGGCATACGTCACAAAAAGAAACTATGGAAGTCAGCCTTGATATAACAGCTCTCAGTGTTCTTCAGCAACCTGAAAAGCTTCAGTGGGAAATTGTTGCAAATGTTCTGGAAGATACAGTTAAGGATCTGGAAGAACTTGGGGCAAATCCCTGTTTGGCCAACTGTAAGAGTGAAAAGATGAAGGAAAAACATCTAGAACAACACAACATTCCCTTTCCTTGTTTATTAGCTGGAGGTCTATTAACATACAAATCACCTGCTACCTCTCCTGTTAGCAGTAACTCTCAGCGATCACTGGATGGCTTAAGTAGGACTCGAGGTGAGAGTGTCTCAGAACAGGGATCAACTGACAATGAATCCTGCACTAACTCAGAACTGAATTCCCCTCTGGTAAGGAGGACTTTACCTGTATTGCTGCTATACAGCATTAAGGAGTCTGATGAAAAAGCAGGAAAACTCTTTTCGCAGATGAACAATATTATGAGTAAAAGTATCCATGATGATGGTTTCACGGTTCCGCAGATCATTGAAATGGAGCTGGACAGTCAGGAGCAGTTGCTGTTACAGGATCCCCCTGTGACTTACATTCAGCAGTTTGCAGATGCTGCAGCCAACCTAACTTCTCCAGACTCAGACAAGTGGAGCTCTATGGTTCCCAAGCCTGGGACTTTGGTTCAGTGCCTGCGCCTGCCCAAGTTTGCAGAAGAGGAGAACCTGTGTGTAGATTCAATCACACCTTGTGCAGATGGAGTTCATCTGTTAGTAGGACTGCGGACTTGTCCTGTCGAATCTCTGAGTGCAATAAATCAAGTAGAGGCCTTGAATAATTTAAATAAATTAAACTCGGCACTATGTAACAGAAGGAAAGGGGAACTAGAATCAAATCTTGCTGTAGTGAATGGCACGAGTATTGATGTAATCCAGCATGAGTCACCAGCAGATGTACCAACTCCTTTAATAATTCAACCTGAACAGCGAAGTGTCAGTGGTGGATACCTAGTGCTTTATAAGATGAATTATGCCACTAGAATAGTTACTCTAGAGGAGGAACCAGTAAAAATCCAGCATATCAAAGACCCCCAAGACACAATTACCTCAATGATTTTGCTCCCACCGGATATATTGGATAACAGAGAGGATGACTGCGAGGAGCCTGTAGAGGAAATACAATTAACTTCTAAAAATGGCAGTGGGAGAGAGAGAAGATCTGAGATCTCTACTCTTGGGCACCTGGTAATAACTACTCAGGGAGGATATGTAAAAATATTAGATCTTTCGAACTTTGAAATTCTGGCCAAAGTGGAGCCACCTAAAAAAGAGGGCACTGAGGAACCAGACATGTTTGTCTCTGTGATATACTGTTCGGGCACAGACAGATTGTGTGCATGCACCAAAGGTAAGACTTCTCTTTAAAATGTTTTTTTAATTAGTGATGTTACTGTATTTGGATTATATTACAGAATTTAGACTCTTTAAGTTTCAAAACAGTAATAGGCAAATTCCATTGAATTTGCATACAGTTTAATTCTGGTCTAGGAAGTGTGGGCTCAAATTAATTCCTGACCTTAAATGTATATTTTCATCTCTGAAATGGGAGTAATTCTTGTGTGTGTCCAGTTTACTCCCAAATTTGTTCTCATAGAGGCACAGATTTTCTTAAGTCCAAAACAGATAAAAGCTAATTCTTGTATTTAATTATTTCTGTGCTAGAGATCCACTTTTATGAAAAATGTCTTCTCTCTGTAATCGATGATATTCAAGAGGGTGGAGAAGACAATGCTTCTGTCCTTTATTCCAGTGATAAATTGTATCTTTGTTCAGGTAGCACACTGCTGATTCTGCTTCAGCCTTTTGCTGTTGGGATTGTACTTTCCTGAGTGTGAGAGCCTGACTTAACTATCCATGCAGGATTGTTAAATCTTTTTTTCAACATGAACTCAAGACATTTTGGGGAAAGGGGCAGGTAGGAGGGGAGTGTAACTCAAGTCCAGGCAACAGCTACTTCATAGAGGTTCCTAAGCCCCCACACAACTCCCTGCTTCCTTGTGTCACATGGGAGCAGTGGAAACAGCTCTGTCTGTCATCCTGCTGAGTTCCTCCTTGCACCAGTGTTTCATTTAATTCTCCTGCAGCTCTGTTGGAAACACTCAGGCTCTCAGAGGGGCTGAGCTGATGGGATGGTTCATACATTTCAAATTATCATGTTGAACGTTCTCTCTACTGGAAGAATTTAAATAGATTTCATGTTGGTGTCATATTGATTACACAGTCCTCCTATGAGCAATTGTAAAATCAGATTTGCCTGTTATTTCCAACAGATGAAGTCAAGCTTATTGTAAACATCTCAGTTTGTTAAGGGCTCCATGTTTATCACCTACCTACCAAGAGTTTTAGGAGTGGAGCTTTTAGATTTGCTTTTTTAATCCAAATGAAAACATTGCATGTTAGCAACTAGTATTTATGTTTGCAGATTCCCAAGGGTAACATTCATATTTACTAAATTGTTCTCTTTTGGTAATTGCTTTTGAAGAAATGTCTGTTAAACTGTTTCAGCTGTATTGAATAATGCACTCTTTTTGCTACTTAAAATGGAACTCTTGAGAGGTTAATTGCCTTGAAAACTGTTAATGTATCATATCCATGTCATAATGTTTTCACCTATGCTTAGCTGATTGAACTGCAATCTCATTAAGAAAAACTCTAAACCTTGCTGCTTTTTTTTCTGCAGAATTGTATTGCCATTAATTTCTCTCTTGAATCAAATGTGTTTTGTCTTCCATTTTAAGATTCATGATAAAAGTTAAAGGGCTTATTGTTACTTTGTGAGGTGCTTTCCCATCCAGTGCTAGTGTTTATGGTAATGATATTCTTGTAGCATTTGGTGTTATCTAAACCTGTTCTGGGACCTGGAGTGTGAGATACACAGGTCTATTGACTTGGAAGTGTTTATTCTGTGTGCGTGGAAGTCTTTGTCTGTGACTAGATAATCACCTGTTACTGACTGGAGAACTTCACTGTGCTCATAATAGACCAGCACATCATTCTGCTTTTTCAGTAAATACCTGTATTTTTTTCTCTCTGAGAGTATTGTAATATCCATCTAGCAATTTATAAATACCTTTTTGGGATTTATTTTGTTCTTGCTGCCTTTTAGATTGCTGACATTTTGGAGTTTTTCTTCTGTAGTTCAGTAGGGTACAGGTATCCCTCTGCCCTCAGATTTCCTATTTTGAATACAATACTTTGATTACTTTTTTTAAAAAAATTCTAATTTTATTCGCACCCACTGCACCTCTATTTGAAACTTCATTTTTTGCTCTGCAACCAAATTCGTATGGACTTGCTTCAGTGTCTTTAGAAGCTTTCAATTTCTGTTCCCTTTTTAGCATTTCAGTCACTTCTGGTATATTTTTTCTCACTTTCGAGAAATTAAGTCCAAAGCCATTGTAAATACTTAGGGATCAGTGTCCTTTAGAAGTCTGGATTTCAGGATCTGATGCTAGGTGTGTCTGAAGCCTCAGTCATGATGTTTATGCCAAAACATGAGGCTTTGTAAAGAATGGCTTAATCTGCAGCGTTTATAAACAACTATACGACATGAAATTTGGGAACGCTAAAAGGAAAAGCAAATCAAGAAGCTGAAATATTAATAGAACTTTTTATAACCTTTATCTTACTGTACATTTGTATAACTTAATGCATGGAGTAGGTTTTGCATAATTTTTGTTGCCCAGAATTGAAATAATCCTTTAAACATTCTGCTGTAAATGGGTAAAATTTATTCCAAAATGATTTTTTGAGGTCTCTGTGTCCTACCACGTGTGGGACAGTGTCTGCCATCAGGAAGTTATGTGTTGGAAGTAGAATAGTTATATTCACTGATGTACTCAATGTTAATCCTTCTAGCAAGTAGCATGTAGTGCAGAGATTTAAGTGAAAATGTTAAGTAGAAGTTTTGGAACATACATGCATTGGAAATGCTTGGATGTTGTTGGAAAACTATTCAGTGATACAAACAGAGCAGTATGTTCTTTCCTGTTTACTTGCTTGGATGGTGAGAGATACTTGAGTGTCTGAAAGTTCTGGATGCACAGTAGCCTTTTTGTTTTCTTTTCTGCTTGTTGACATACTATTTTGATTGATAGATCATAAAATTTTTTTCCATGTCTGTCTTCAGTATGTGACTGAAACGAAGCCTCTATGTGAATGAGTGCTTCAGATTTGGAGTGGTTTTATGTAAAGGTATTTTAGACCTGCATTTGACATCATCCATCTTTATGAGCCCCACTTCAAATTGTTACCTCTTGGTGTCGGCTTCAGGTACTTGGCTATTTCTGCAAGGATTACCTGGGATTGACCTGTGGGGGAAGTGTGGCTGTGCATTCTTGGTTGCAGTTCTGTTAAGCAAACATAGTGTCCTGTAATCTCTGTATTTTGCTTTATTCTCTTCCCCTTGGCCAAGGGAGACTGTAGTTAATATTCTCCTTGGTAGTGCTTTGTGTGCTGTCATACGAGGGTTTAAATTTTTTTGTCTTGCACTTTAATATATTTGTCTTAGTATTGCATATTAATATTAGCTAAAATTCTGCTTTTGTAGCATTCAAACTAATAAGTAAAAAAAAGTACATTCTTTATTACAAAACTATGCAGTCGGCTGACAGGTGTTGCCTTTGAGTAGGGATGCAGCTGTAGGATGGTATTTTGATTATATTTGTAGCCTGTTATCTGGCATTTATGAGGATCAGATATAGTTTGTTATGGATGCATAAATTTCCAGAGCTACAGTTGTCGCTGTCTTCTTGATATCTCAGTTTTCATCTAACCCTTTTTTAAAATTAGAGTCCTACCAAAAATTGCTTAAGGAAGTGTTCCATAGCATATGTTCTACTTTTTTCCTGTGTTGAATTTGTTTTGGATTGTTTTCTTACCTTAGCTGCTTAGCTGCATTTATTACTCAAGCCATTTTGTTGAACTTTGCTTTGAAATATAGAATTGGATTGAAAAAATGGGCATAGCTGAAATGTACCTATTTTATTTTAGCATAAAAGTGCAAATCTCTGCGTGTGTTTTGTTTTGGCAGTTCATGCTTGTGTCTCTGGGAGTAGTTTTAGAAGTGCATTAAGATTTGTCAGGTTTTTTTATTGATACTGATACTCTTCCTTGTCAACTGTCTGAAGCTCTCTGAAAAATATTTTCGAATAGGAAGGTGTGGTGGCATTTCAAACAAATGCTACAAGAAGTGGAAATGCTCAAGGTGTTCTGGTGGAGAAATACCTTCCAGACAGACTGTCTGATTGAGGAGGTGTTAAAATCTGTATGATCTGTTGTTTCAGTGCTCGAACTCCTCCTAATTCGTGAAGCACTTGATACATTTGAAAAATTTTTCCCCAAAATATTGTACCTTTCATTTATAATGGATTTCTTGTTCTTGAGTTACACATAGTGTATTCATTCCTCTCTGTAGCTTTTGGGGGGTTTAGTTTGGATATCTATCCAACCTGATCTCCTTTTATGATCAGGTGACCCACCTGGTGGATGAGGGGAAGGCTGTGGATGTAGTCTACCTGGACTTCAGCAAAGCCTTTGACACCATCTCCCATAGCATACTCCTGAAAAAGCTG